CCAACCGATATCAGTGGCGTTCTTGTTGTCAGTTTCTGTCCAGATTGCCTGAGTGAATGTCTGGAGGTGTAGGCACCTCGGAATGATTAAGCTAAGCTAGCACTAAGTCCCTCCCCCACCCAGCTTTATTCTTTTCTTTGCAATAAGGCTTTCAAATAAGTCATGGCTGTACGGAAGCATTGGTATGCTGTCGTTGATGATGACGTTGATGAGACCATCGGTCACTGCGTACCTAAGTCGGATGTATCAATCGGTGAACAGGACTTTCTTTGGTGGCTACCTGTAGCGTCTATGTTCGACGAAACAGGATTCAGCTACTACAATACCAATTGGCTAGATATATGAGCCATGTTCAACCTGCATATCTCTTCGTTTGCCAGCAGGCATATCTCACGCTCTGTCCTGTTTAGGCTGTTGTGGATTGTTCAGTCACTGTGTGGATAAACTGCTCAGTCTCAATTGTGAGCGACAGATTCAATTCCGACATTAAGGAGTATTTTACTTACGATGTGTTTCAACCAATTATCTATAATTAACACTGCTACTAGATTCAGTTAGACATATATTTAAGAGGTTGAACTATTTTCTTCCTCATAAGCAGTATCGCCCAGACTTGGTTTTAGGTGAAATGGAGAACGCACGGAGCCTGTCCTTCGGCAGCGTGACTATCGCGTTTTGCTTTTGAAGCACTACAAATTTCTTTCATTTGTAAGAAACGATACGATGATGAAAACAAAGGTGGTATGGCGCTATAAGTTTGGAGGGTACGAGGAAGGAGTGTCGGCGAATTTCGTTACCTTGAATATCGATCTACGCTAAAGAACTCCGTTAAAGAACTACTTGGACGATGCGTTCATTCAATGCTTGTTTGGGCTTCTCCATCCCACCGATTCAATACACGAATGAGCTATGAAAGAACGTTTTCATGGTTCTCTTGGTGTTATTGGCATTGTCCTGGTTGTTTCTGGTATTTCCCAGCCTACATTCGCAACGTCTAGTCAGTGCACCCAGCCTGAGCGCTCTCATTACGTGATCTTCTGTCCATTCATCCATTGTGAAGTCATTCGTTTTTTGGTTCCCTCTTACAGAAACTATTGTGGGTGTCAATAAATATCGGTTGGAAAAGGAGGAGCGGGTAGAGGTTCTGGTTGTGGACAATACAAAAGTGCGCGAGTCGCAGATTGCCAAGCTGAAACAACTTCGAGCCGAGCGTGATAACAGTAAGGTATGTTGCTAGTGCTGGTTTCATGCCCCGTTCGTTTTCAATCCTTGTTGAATGGTTTTTCTCCGATATAATTAAAAGGTGAAATAGCCTTGTCTTTTACCAAACTAGGGTAGCGTTTTACAATATTGTACAGCATAGTGATCCAATCCAAAAACATTTTGCTGCATCTGAACGGACGCCCAGTTCAAATAGGTGATTTAGATTACCATGGATAGGTAATCCGCCATCTCGAAGTGGTGAGGGTGCGCTGACCGATGTGCCTGAGTTGCTTAACTGGACAGTTTACATACATTCCGACGCTTTAATAAAGACGAATTTCCTCTTTGAGTGGACAAGACCAGGATAGCTTTTATCCAACGGTAAGCTTACCGTAGCACCTGCATGTCTGATGAGGCTAGAGTTTACACTGTTGTAGTGTGCCTTGTTTATAGGTCTATCCTCAGCGAGCAACCATCGATTTCGAAGCATTGCTCAATAGAAGCAAGTTGAATGTTTTTCAGAAATGGTGTGTGTGTGCACACACTTAACGGTTGCTCCTTGGCAAAGATTTTGTAGCAGCGCACTTAACTTTCCAATCAGGCCACTAATACAGGTGAATCGATGTGGTGGCATGTATAGATCGGAGGGCTAAGAGTATATGTAACTTTCCGAAAATTCCCATTTATAATAAGAACACAAATGGGTTGATGAACATGTTTTCGGCAAGGTCTTTTCAAGCCATACAATTTCAAAGGTTAAGAGAGCGGTATTTAACATATTTGAATGGGTATGGCGTAAGTGGACAGGGAATCGAGTGAGATGATATTGACTACCTATTAAAGAACAATTAGTTCAGGTCACCAATAGGACGACTTGAGCTAGTCAGCTCGGGGGGTGTTGTAGTTGTGTTCAGCACACGGTGCATGTGTGAGGGGAGGTGAGTTGGACCATGGTAAGTACAACACAC